GCGGTTTCCTCCTCTGTCATTATTTTTTCCCATCAGCCCCTGATAAACACAGTGCATTTCCTATTCACATGGGAAAACACCACAACTCTGGGCCAACTCCATCTCAGAGGGGAAATCTGCATTTTATTAAAAAAAAAGAAGTCCTCCAGCAGGAGCTGATGACAGGCATCAGGGAACCCACTACCACGCAGTGTTCCCTTCACTTCAGACTCTGGGAGACACACACACACACACACACAAACAGGCGGACAGGATGGTACTTCATATGCAAAGTGTGGAGCCAAAAACTTTACTCCAAATAAAATCAGACGGCCAACTCCTGCAGATGATGAAAGTCAGGGCTGTTGCTTTTTACACCATCTGTCCGCTGGTAAATTGGATCTACTTCCTGTTAGGAGCCAAATGAGGGTGAAGATAACATCTGTCATCACATAGCTTCACTCTGCTGTCCCCCCTGACTCACCCCCACGCCCTCCTCCCCCCTCCACCTTCAACAATGTGATTAAAGAGGAATGTCCTGCTTTGATGATGCGTTCACACTCGCACCGACATTTCAGATGTGGAACTGTCACCCAGACAGACGTCAGGCGGGTCTGTGTATCCGCGGCTCTCTGACTGTATCGTCGCAGCAGCAGGAACCGTTGTCTCCTGACAGGCTTCACATCAAACTCTTGCAAAGGAGCTTCCAGGCAGACACTTTAGGCTCAGTCCCCCCTGAGTGACTGGAACCGATGAGGCAGCTCCCTTCTGACCGAAGTGGACGGTCGTCAGGCCAGAACACACAGCTGTTCCTCTGACAGCAGCCGGTTCTTTGACGGGTGAAAGTTCCTCACCCGGTGTCACAGCAGTCTTGGCTGGGTGAGCCAATCAAATGGCCTGCTAATGGCCTGCTGGGTGAGCCAATCAAATGGCCTGCTACACGACACTCAAAACACACTTTTAGTTATTGTTCAAGGTACTTTCACTTTTGTAATACAAGACCAGGATTCAAACATCAGGAGGAGTTTAGATCCATAAACCCATCTTCTAAGACATCATCGTGGCAATCGTAACTGATTTTACATGATTGTGCGGTACATCCTAGCCTAGTGGTCTGTGGCGCTAAACACCAAGAGCCGCAAACAAACGCTGACCATTTTAAGAATGGCAGTAGTGCCATGACGTTTTAAGTACTGTAACAATAATAATAACAATAATAATGATAAAATCTATGAAGATGCTCAGTCATCCAGGTCATAGTCAAGGTTAAAGAGGTCCGTTTGGCAACTGGACATGAAATTTTCTCTAGAACACGTTTCGCCTCTCATCTGAAGAAGCCTCTCGGATGAGTGGCGAAATGTTTCCTAGGGAAAATTTCACATCCAGTTGCCTAACGGAACTCTTCGATCTCAATAATAATAATAATAATAATAATTTGAACTTTCTTCTTGATCACTACAGGATATGGCCCAGGAGCCACAGGGTGACGATTCTGGGACTAGAGCACAGAAGTGAACATTTGACACTCTCAAATATGAACTGTAATAAACTGTTAAAAATGCAGCTGCTCAGCACTGTATCACCACAGGCTCAGTCTGTCCGACTGGGATGTCTAACATTCCATGTTAGGTCATCAACCACCGGTCAAAAAAGTTCAACTTTTTTTCAGTATTAATTTTTTTCCCAGCTTCTACTACTGTATTGCGTCCCGGGTCATGTGGTGACCCTAAGTTCAAACCCAGAAGCGATGGGGCGAGGTCAGAGGGCACTTGGTTAAAGGCACACTAACATCTGCCAAAACTGTGGCCACTTTCTGTCCATTTCGTGGTCCACATCTGGAGGACAAACACATCAGACAGAGACTAAATCTGAACCAAAACATTAAGATCTGGGACTGACAGTACAGCTCGAGAGACTTCAACAGTTTACTCCTGAGTGACAGATCATACATTTCCTGTATTGTATTGATTAACTCTACTGTACTGGATTTTACCGTATCATGGGTGTAAAACAGTATAAAACACACTTTATCAATTAATCCATCGTACAAGACGTAACATCTTCAATAGGATAAGATCTCTGGACTGGTCGGCCTGGAGAAACAGACAATAATGAGACCAAAAAGCACTGGAGGGAGATTAACTTGAGAACAAATGACACAGCAAAGTCTGCCTTCGCTCTGGAATTATTCACATGTATTTGGTCTGACTTCAAATGACGACACCGACAACATAATCCCACCAAGATCCAGGACTGAGGATACACTGTGGACTGGAACCAGGATCTGGATTAGTAACCGTCTTATGTCTGTCCATCTGTGACCTCACAGGAACGATAGATTGATATCACTTAACTTAACACTTAACAACCTGCGGCCACTGGAGCCTCAGATTTCTCTCTGTGGCAGCTGAGACTAGAAGCCTGTCTCTGTCTCCTGCTGCTGTAGCTCGTCTCACTGAGGTTCAGCTCGGTGTTCATTTCTGAGAAGCTTTTTTTTTTTGCATTCCAGGAGATTAGCAATTTCTGAATTTCTCATCTCAACCAACACCTAAAACCCAGATGGCGCCAATAACCATGTCACAGTCAGAGAGACTGAGTTCCATCTCTATCCCTGTTCTGATCAAGTCAGCGAAAACTCATGAATCACAACTGGTAAGTGATCAGCGTTTTTACAGCACCGTCTAGTCTTGGTGACCGACTCCGTCCAGTTGCCCTCGATGTAACTATTTTTTGAACTACCAAACAACTACACACATGAATACCTGCAGTATCTCCTTATACTTGACTGACTGACAATAGTTTTTACAAGAACACATTTGACCTACTGATCCACCGTTGGGTAGAGACTTCAGGTACGTCAGATAAGAAATCTAAATTAGTTGTGAAGTCCATTATCATAAACATGAAAAGTGGTTTTAATAACCCAACTATCCATCCAGTTAGCAATTCACCAAGGAAGCCACCATCAATCCAGCCATCCATCCATCCATCCATCCATTGTTGTTCCATTCATTCAGCCAAGACCAGGGGACTGAAGCGGAGTTGTACAACATGGTCAGGTCACTAATTTCACTGTGATCTACACACAACAAACCGTGGACATTCAAGACACTCAGAGTAACCGAGTTTAGTAACGACCAACTGTAAGACAAAAATATACAAGTAAGTTTTCTTACCCTGGGGCAACAGCCATGTTCTAAGCGCTAAAAGACAAAGAAATATGTACAGCTAACATTGTACCCTGGGGCAACAGCCATGTTCTAAGAGCTAAAAGACAAAGAAATATGTATTTTGTTCTAATGAATTATTAAAAGCTTAATTCATTATTCAAATCAGATTGTTACTGATGGAAAATGACATTTATAAACTAGAGGACCTGCGTCTAAAAGCCTTTATGACATGTACATGGTAAATGTGCAGTGAGAGTCAGGGTCTCACGGGAATCTGTTGTATAGATGAAAAAAAAAGTTTTCTCAAGACAACTGGTTCTCAGAGAACTTTTTTAAGCCCTATTGTACTTAAGCTGCCAATGACGTGACTGATTTACAAATTCAAAGGCACTTAGTTAGAACGTGATCGTCATCTACAGTGGTTCGAGCCCCTGACGTCTCTGAGGCAGAAGTTAGTGAGCAGTGGCTGAGACTCCGGGTCAGATCTGAGGACTCGTTGTGTCCCTGGGCTCCTGCTGTCAGTCCACAGAGGCCCCAGGCCCCGTTACTCTCCGCTCCCACACAGCTGAACTGCGTCATCTTTAACCTCCTCGCTCAGCTCCATCTGTCAGAGGAGGGGCAGCGTGCTCAGGGAGCCGGAATAAAGCATGACGGGGACCGAACATAATTTCATGAAAGGTTTGTTCAACCTAAAGAGTGGAGTAATTAAAAGAGGGGACGGGGGGGTATGGATAATTTAACAGCAGGTACTATAGTCGGCTGCCAAAAAAGATCTGGACACCAGCCAGTCTACATATTCCACTGTGTTCTGCACCGCAAATCAAATGCTGAGTAGCTTCTTTGTCAGTTGAGCCTAAATAGAGAAGACTCCTCCTCCGCAGCGAGTGGACGGGAAACGGCGGTGAAACTAAATTCATCTGTGCTGATGTCTGGGTTTCTCTGTCGTTCACACTGCAGAACAATGACCAAAACTCAATGTATGTCTTGAGCCGGGGTGATGGTCAACACCAGGAATTTAAATAGCACTTGTTGATCACAGTGAACAAGGTGATAAAAAAAACCAAGACATTCAACCACTTTGGCTTAAAAAAAAAAAAAAAAAAAGGAACGCACAATAACGCTGCCATATTTAGCTGTGCTGGATAAAATCCTAAACAATAAAAAACCACAGACGTGTTATTCTCAGTATAATCTTTGTTCCACTTGATTTGTGCTGCAGCTTCTAAAGTCTTTTCCAGCTCT